TTCGTCCCCTTGGAGAGAGAGCCAGGTGCTTCATCTATCTTCCTCCAAGGAGGCTAATGTGATGAGCGTCGACACGGAGGAAACTGCGGACTCGCCACCACAGTCCCTTGTGTATGAGGAGCTAGTGGAGGTTGTGACTCGCGCTGTAGCCAAGCTCAACATCGTTTGGCCAGCTGAGAAACAGGACACAAGCAAACTGGATGAGCGCTTTCTCAAAGCCGGATCACAACCTTCACGCCAGGGCCTTCCATTTTTCTCCGATCTCCATGCCGAGGTGTTGAGATCGTGGGAGAAACCGTACTCAGCCCAACAGTAACCAACTACTCTAACATCGTGGGAATGAATGAGAAGGGTTATGGGGCGATGCCGGCAGTGGAGCTGACACTAGCGAGCTATCTCTCCCCGTCCTCAGCATCATCCCTGAAGGCCCCGAAGCTTCCCACCAGGCCAGTAAAACTGACATCCAGCCTGGTTGGGAAAGCTTATACAGCGGCTGGTCAGGCCAGTGCATGTCTGCACACTATGGCGGTGTTGCAGGCATACCAGGCCGACCTGCTAAAAGACCTGGATGATAGGGAGGAAGAAGAATCCGACGTAGTCGCTGAACTCGGCCAAGCGGTCTTGACTATACCATCGTCAGGACCCTGAGGGCAACCCACCCTGGGGAGGAGAGGTACACACCTCAGTATATGGTGCCCGATCCTCCTCAGTGCCCTCAGGGGGCTTCACTGATACCCCTGCCACCCCCGGTGCTTCAGGGCTCAGTGAGCTCCGACGAGCAAATTTCCCAGATGCCGCCCGGCGACGGTACGGCACGGGAAAGCACACTTTCACGAAGTGTGTGGATGATGCCCTGGCTCCATTGCGACTCCAGGACATCCACATACTGAATAACATCGACAATTGGTTGACATTAGCTCAGTCAGAGCAGATGGCGTCTCGGCATCGAGATGTCATCCTCGCCCATATGAAAGAGCTGGGGTTACGGCTAAACGTCAAGAAAAGTGTGCTTTCTCCATTACAGAGGACCACTTATCTGGGCGTGGTGTGGGATTCGACAACGATGCAGACACAGTTGTCTCCTGCTCATATCGAAGCGATTCTCACAGCCGTGAGGGGAGTGAGAGAAGTCCAGTCACTCACTGTCAAACAGTGTCAGAGACTGTTGGGTCTGATGGCAGCTGCGTCCAACGTGATACCTTTTGGCCTGTTGTACATGAGACCCTTGCAGTGGTGGCTCAGTTTCCCCCGAGGGGGAACCCACTTCGCACGATCAAGGTCACGCGGCAATGCTTACGTGCCTTAGACATGTGGAAGAAACCTTGGTTCCTGTCTCAAGGCCCGTCGCTGGGGACTCCTTGTCATCGTGTAACGCTAACGGCGGACGCCTCCCTCACGGGTTGGGGAATGGTCATGAGTGGCCTCTCTGCCCGAGGTCTGTGGGAAGGCCATCATCTCACGTGGCACATCAACTGCCTGGAGATGTTGGCCATGTTTCGAGCTCTAAAACACTTCCTTCTAGACCTAAGAGGACAACACATTGGTGGTCTCCTACATCAACCAGCAGGGGGGTCTGCGCTTGCGCCCCCTTTACAGGCTGGTGCCATGGTACAGACGTGGCCGAGGCTACGCTTTTCCCCCGATCACTCTGCTCCCGGGAATTCTGGAGAGAGTACGCCGGGACGGGGTCCGTCTGCTGCTGGTAGCCCGGTTCTAGCCGGCCCGAGTGTGGTTCTCGGACCTTGTGTCCCTCCTTGACGGCTCTCCGCTGGAGATTCTGATCAGGACGGACCTCCTCTCTCAGGCGGGGTGCACCATCCTTCACCCCTGCCCGGAGTTATGGAAGTTGTGGGCGTGGCCCCTGAGAGAGTACAGCTCATAGCATCCGGTCTCTCAACTGAGGTTGCTGAGACCATACTCCAGTCCAGAGCTCCCACCACGAGGAAACTGTACACCTTGAAGTGGAAGCTTTTCACTTCTTGGTGCAGAAAGCGACTCCAAGACCCAGTCAACTGCCCAGTTGGTTCAGTTCTGGAGTTTCTGCAGGAGCATTTTTCCGCAGGGTTATCCCCCTCCACTCTGAAGGTTTACGTGGCGGCCATAGCTGCTTACCACACCCTTCTGTGTGGTCAATCATTGGGGAAGCACCCGTTAGTTACACGTTTCCTTCGTGGCACCCGGAGGCTGAGGCCAGTACAGCACACCAAGGTGCCCTTGTGGGACCTGGCGGTGCTTCTGGAGGCTTTGTGCAATGCTCCTTTCGAACCCATTGAAGATGTCTCTGACAAGCTCCACACGTTGAAGACAGTCTTCCTCCTTGCTATATCCTCGCTGAAGAGGATAGGGGACCTTCAGGCACTCGCAGTGTCGTGCCTGGAATTCGCCCCGGGCATGGTTAGGGCGTTTCTTTATGTCCCTAAGGTGCCCACCTCTTCACCGGGTCCCATAGTACTACAAGCCTTCTGTCCTCCCCCCTTCCAGGAAGCAGGCCAGGAAAGACTCAATCTACTCTGTCCAGTGCAAGCACTGGACGCTTACATCCACAGAGCTGCCCAGTGGCGTAAGGCAGATCAGTTATTAATTTGCTTCGGTCCGCCTAAGAAAGGGGTTCCAACGACCAAGCAAACCATGAGTCGTGGGTGGTTGAAACCATCACACTGGCCTATGAGTCCTCTGGCCTCCTGTCATCGATGGGGGTCAGAGCGCACTCGACCCGGAGTATGGCAGCATCCAAGGCCTTATCAGTGGGCGTGGCCCTCCAGGATATTTGTGCTGTAGCGGGCTGGTCCTCTCCGCACACATTTGTCCGATTTTACAGTTTGGACCTGACACTAACCCCGGGGTCCCAAGTTATCTCGTCTTGATGTGCTCGCCAGACACTTATCAGACAGGGACTTGCTCATATGGCACAGTGGGTATTCTCGTTCCCAAAGCGTTTAACGCAGCTCGAGTTCCTGAAGGGGAACATCTCGTGGTTACGTATGTAGCCATGGTTCCCCGAAGGGAACGAGACGCTGTGTCTCCCTGCCATACTCCCTGCATCCCTGCAGGCGCTCGCTTCCACAGAAGCTAACATGTGCATTTGGCGGATGCGCCTTTATGCTTCCTTGTTGCTCACGTCGCCCCGCTCGTGACGTCTCGCTTCTCTATTGGACTGTTTTCACACATGCTTCAGTACAGGTCTCGCCGGGGGCATTCCCAAAGCGTTGACGCAGTGTCTCTTTCCCTTCGGGGAACCATGGTTACATACGTAACCTCGAGACGGTTTTAGTGAATATATGAAGTCAGGTTCACATGGATGTTCTAGCATAGTAACCATACGTGGAGTTTATAGCATTAACTATTAATTATCTATTAATACTATCTATCTATCTATCTATCTATCTATCTATCTATCTATCATCTATCTATCTATCTATCTATCTATCCTAAAATAAAAGTCTCTTGGTTTAATAATGGTATCATGTTTATACATTTTTAAGTGTGTATTTGGTGTCCAAATATTTTTTAGGGACCGTGTATTTGATATATATAACTTCCAGCATATATGTGAAATATTGTATTGTTGCCAAATAGCCACACAAATGCACAATACATGCAAAAATACTCTTAAATCAACTTGAGGTCAGTGTAGCAGGTTAGAAAGCTGTTGTTTACCAGCAGCACGCAGAGGCTTACAGAAGACAGCAGAGCACTAAGGTGAATAATCTGATCGAGCCTTCAATGTGACGTAAAGTGGATGTCAGCACAAAACGTCATGTCTCATTAATGAGGATCATGGTCATCCTCTTTACACCTCATGCTAATGCACTTCAGTCTTTTATTAAGTTTATTATTGTTTATTCTTTGCAATAATGACTGACAGTTTCCAGTGCTAAACTAACAGAAATATGTTTGAGCAAAATAAAATAAGAAATAATGTATGCAGTGCAAAGTGCTGATTGGTTACCTGACTCTTGGTGATCATGCTTCAGATAAAGCGGCTCCATTTTAAATGCTCCAATGATGTCTGATCTTTTCTTCACCCTGCACAGGGACATTCACCTTCATCACAGTGTAGGAGGCAACAGTCATATGACATTATTGTGCATACAGCATATATCATTATTATTTGAATGTTCAGTAATAGCTAACTAATATCCTATTGGTATTAAACTGTGTATCCAGAGTTCACAAAAAGTAAAATACAACTCAATAAATGTATTCAAATGCTTTATCTGGATTTTTAAGCAAAGTTAGCACAACATACCGTTCAATAAGAGACAATGAAAAAAAGCGTTTTATTACATTCATTATTTTACAGTTTTTGTGTGTCTGTTTTTCTGTTTTGATTGATTGATTGATTGATTGATTTATTTATTTATTTATTTATCTATCTATCATCTAGCGTCATTTAAAAGTATCAGTTTGGCTCACAAACCAAATGTAACATTAGACACACAAAGAGTGTGTGTCTAGACACACAAAAACACACAAAAAAAATCACATTTTGCTATACGAATTAACCTTTTTATATGTGCAGCACATCTCTATGAATGTATGTATCTATTTTATGTATTTACAATACCTAATACACTTATGGTCATTGGCTAAGTTAGTTCTTAGAAAAGGATTTGCATCATTTGTTTTAAGGTTCAAGGTTTAAGGTTCACTTTATTGCCATTTAGTCAAGGCAGGGTCAAGGTGGGGTTTCAAGGTTTGCATACGGCACTCAGTTTAATTATTTTCTTTCTAATGTGATGAAGTGACATATTCACATCAAACAGTACATATTTAAAATGTGGCTTAAGTGTTGAAATAACTTTGGGGCCACTGTAAACACTAACGTTGAAAAGTTGGTTTTGTAATATTGTGATATATTACTACAATTCGAATGACTTTTATTCTACTTTTATACATTTAAAAATATAATGTATTCCTGTCATAGCAAAGCTGAATTTTAAGCATTATCACTCCAGTCTTCAGTGTCACATGATCCTTCGGAAATCATTCTAATATGCTGATTTGGTGCTCAAGAAAAAACAGCTGTGCTGCTTAATAATTTTGGGAACCATGATTCATTCTATGATGAATTAAAAATTCAAAAGAACAGCATTTATTTAAAAAATAAATCTTTTATAACATTATAAATGACTATACTTTTGATTTAGCTAAATGCATCTTTGCTGTATATTTGCTGTATATTATCAGGGTAAATTTGGATACTCTCTTTTCTTGTATTTTCTCTCTATATAACCATGAACATTTTTGTTTGCCTGGTGCTGACATAAAGGGCAGCTGGGGCCGTTTCCTCTGTTGACTGACAAAGCCAACCAATCGCATGTTGAGATACAGTAGATCGGGTCAGAGAATAAATTAAATATGCTTTTTACTGATAGAGCCACTAAACACTTACCACATTGCAGAGCAGTCAAAGTTGACCAGGAGCCATTTATGAGGATTGAAATTGAAAGAGTCTGCGAACTAAAAGAGAAGCAAATTTTGATGTGATTTACCATCAGGCGGGGTGTGTGTGTGTGTGTGTCTGTGTGGGGGGGGGGGTTAGGTTCAGAGAAAGAGCAGAGACAAATGTCCAATTTGTTCTCATTTTGTGCTCTCTAACAGTCTGAGTGGCTGCTATCTTTCTACCATGATGTTGACTGATTCTGTAATTTTGCATTTGTTATATACAGTATAGCAGTATATACAGTATAGCGGCTGGAAGTTCTAATGGTAAGGGTTAATCATTAAGATTCAAGAGCAAATTCTGCAGCATTTCCTGTCAGGGTTAAAAAATAATAACAATAACAATAACAATAACAATAAATAAAACTAGATATTTTCCAGTTGACTGGACCTTTGTGTCAAAAATACAACAAAAAAAAAAATGTTAATTACTGTACTTGAAACTATATAAAACCCCATGTCTGACCATCAGAATTTCCCTATATACTGTGTCACTAATTTAAACATTTCCAAAAAATTTTACAGATGAAAAAAAAAATCTGTAGTTGGTTTGATGAATGTATTGGCTATATTATGCAGTTTGCATTTAGTGAACACAAATTTTAAATAGATAAAGCAAAGTAGTGTTTCTTAGGATAATTCTTAAGGTTGTCACATTTTAGTTTGGGGGCCAATTCTCACTATTAACTAACTATTAAATATGGCTTCAATAAACTTCTAATTTGCAGCATATTGATAGTTAGTAAGGTAGTTGTTAGGGTTGGGAAAAGAGTAAAGGATCTAATATATGGTCATACAGAATATGTGCTTATAAGTACTAATAAATGGCCAATATGTTAGGAATATGCATGCTGATAAGCAACTATTTAATAGCAAATAGTTAATATTTTGATGGTCCCTTTTGAACATTCTGTTGACAATAAGTAACGTTGCACCTTTTACAGTTGTGCTCATAAGATTACAAGCCCCTTGCAGAATATGCAAATATGTTAATAATTTTAACTAAATAAGAGGGATCATGAAAATTGCATGTTATTTTTATTTAGTACTCTCCTGAATAAGCAATTTCACATAACAGACGTTTATATATTCTCCACAAGACAAAATAATAACTGAATTCATAAAAAATGACCCGTCCCCATTCAAAAGTTTACATACTCATGAATCTTAATACTGTGTGTTGTTTCCTGAATGATCCATGACTGTTTTTCTGTGTTGTGATAGTTGTTCATGAGTCCCTTGTTGGTCCTGAGCAGTTCAACTGCCTGCTGTTCTTCAGAAAAATCCTCCAGCTCCTGCACATTCTTTGGTTTTCCAGCATCTTCTGCATATTTGAACCCTTTCCAACAGTGACTTTATGATTTTGAGATCCATCTTTTCACACTGAGGGCAATTGAGGGACTCATACACAGCTATTACAAAATTTGGAAACTATCACAAAACAGAAAGACAGTCGTGGATCATCCAGGAAACAACACACAGTATTAAGATTCATGAGTATGTAATCTTTTGAACGGGGTAATTTTTATAAATTCAGTTATTATTTTGTCTTGTGGAGAATATATAAACATCTTTTAAATAGCTTATTCGGGACATTATTAAATAAAAAATAACATGCCATTTTCATGACCCCTCTTATTTTTTTTTTAATTATTAACATTTTGCATATTCTGCAAGGGACATGTAAATGTATGTGCACAACTGTATATCAGTTAACTCTCATTAGACTATTAGTAGACTGTCTGCATAATATCTGCCTACTCTTTATTGTGATGGTCTCCCAACAGACGTTACCGACTATAAGCAACTTGGCAAGTAATTGTCAAATTATTCTAACCCTAACCCTACCACTCTACTAATACTCTACTAACACTCTAGTGAGACTTTGTAGATGCAACGTTACTTATAGTCAACAGAATGTGTTAAAGGGACCATCAAAATAAAGTGAAACCCGGGTCTTTGAACTAAAGTCTTACCCTTAAGACAATAGTTGTGCTGTTTAAAAGAAGATTGTAGTTATTAGAGATATACATACAAAAAATGGTATGAGTCCTGCGGCTCTGTCCTCTTCTAGAACTTTCTGCAGTGCAGCTCCTCGCACAGAAAACTTACTGTCGGTGGGCATTTTCTTCATCCTTACTCCACCTATCAAACCTGCCCTCTCCACCGATGAGTGTGCCTGAAATATCAACAAAACACTAGCATATCATTTCTCAATTAATGATCTTGTTTTAAAAAACATAACCAGATATTCATGTTTTCCCGTTAGACACACATATGCTCTAAGCACATTCATAAACAAGTGGTTCTTCACCGTTATCCTGCTGCATGACCCTTTCACTTTATTTGACATTTCCATTCAATAAGAATTCTTGCTAATCATCCCCACTAACAGATACTCATCCTTACTTACAGATGGACATGAAGCCATTGTCACAGTGCCTGTTGAATGGTGCGTATTATCTTGCAGGTCATTAGTCTAGACTAAATATACCTCTGCAGCACTCTTTCATCCAGGCTTGTTGTTTTACCTGATCAGATGAGTAGGCGACAAGTTTGGATATAATGTCTGTCTCAGATCGTTCAGGATGGTCAGCCTGGATCAGTTTGACGATTTTGGAACGAGCAGCAAGAAGAGCCATGAGAGTGGCTTCACTGGCAGTGCCCTGTACAAACAAACAACACATTATATGTATTTATACTTGATACTTTTAACAATGTTGCTGTTTATGGAAATTCAAAAGCAGTCTATGTTGAGCAGGTTTCACAGTTGGTAGACGTTCAATATTACTTGAGACATAATTTCCCTCATTTCAAATATTGCATTGAGCGAAACAACCTCAATCAAAATGCCCTGATGCTGCTCAGACATTGTAAATGCAGCGGTGATGAATTTTCATCAGCTCTCCAGCTCTCACACAGTTTTGTGTGTCCACAATGAGCGAATGAGAAGACTTCCACTCGAAACCCCTCAATACAGATCACCTCAACTCATTGTGAGGCACGAGCTGTCTTTGATTTCCCTTCGTAAGCCTGACACGTCCTGATTACTAATGATTCAGTTTACTTTATGGGATAATCTGGAAAACTGTAGCCACACTTGTGTTTTCAATTCCAAAGTCTTTGATTAAATGCCATTTTCACCATATTTAACCCTATGAAGCCTTCTGTATCATATTAGATTTGCAAATTTCTAAGACCTCTAAATTTAGCTAAAACCAATCTACTACATGCCTTCTGTCATCTGATTGATACTTGTAGCAAGTAAAAGGCCTTTTATTAAAATCTGTTTTAATTCTAAAAACATCCTCACTCAGATCACGGTACATTGCAAACTTTTTGCTGGGAAATCTTTACAGATTTGTATAAAGTAAATATAAGTTTTATATTTATATTGTTTATATTGTTAGTAGTATTTCAAGATGAGTGGACTGAAAATGGACTTTTATATTATATTATATTATATTATATTATATTATATTTAATATTATACTATATTTTATTTTATTTTATTATTCATAGATAATCTTTTTAGAAAAATAATGTTCAAATGCATCAAATACCATAGATCAGGCTTTTGTAGAACTTTGATTTGCATTGCATTATATGATTAGTGTGATAGTTGATATTTATATGCATTTTATTTAAGTAGTCTGCTATACTGCTATAAAGATCTCATTGATTTACATTAAAAGCTATCAGAATTGTATCTTTTTTTTTTGGCCATATAAATATCAGCATCTGCACCAAATTGCATATTTTTGCTCAGCTTGGTCCTCTGAATAAGATTGAAATATTTGTTCCACTCCTTTTTTCCTCCTTGAGCGTGAACTCCACATTTCCCTATATGAGCCATAAAAGCCTGATGTATCAAATATTATACTCAACAAAAACATGAAAACTTCTACATGCTTAGTTGTACTTTCATAAATATCTTCTACTTCCACCTGTTCTCCTCCCCTCTCTACTATGTCCACCTTTGCTGAGAGGCATTGCTTACAAAACCCACAATCTCCCTCATTAGTGTGCGCTATCAGTGAAAATAATGCCTGTTGCCATAGTGAGCTCTCTGAAAAGCCCAGAGAAAAAAAACATTCAGTAGGAGGACACACACACTCCAAAGCGGCCTTAATGACAGAGCATCAAACCGACTGTCATCAGTGGGCTTTCCATACGCTGTGCTTCCTGTGTCTCTCTCAAAATGGTCACAGCTGCTCAACTGCTACATCCATAGTGACAAAATGATCACGGACCGCACTCAACGCACGTCCGCCTGACTGGCTCCTCTCATGTGTAGTTGATGTCTTAAAAGGCAATTTCTACAGGACATAACAATTTGCAGGGCCTAGAGAAGAAATCAATGACAAACAAATTGTTGTGTGGGACATGTGCTTGATATTTGTTATTGTTCAAAAGAAATTGCCCGTAAACATGGATTAAGGTTGCCCAGGTGGCATTAAAGTGGTTTAAAATGTCCACATTTTGACACTGGGCACAAGATTCTGATAGGAATAAAGATAGTTGTGTAATTGTTGTGTGTTCATAATATGATTCAACCTTTGCAGAACAAGAGATGCTTAAAGGTAATGTGCAATCACATAGTTAGACATGTCTTGAATTTTAAAATATATACTGTATATATATATATATAATATCTTATTATAATATAATATCTTATCTTCTACATAAACCCCCTTCAGTACATGGACCCCCCTCATGGACCCTTGGTTGAAAACACTGTATAAGTGATACCATGTAAATCTTTATTTAAACTTGCACTACTAGCAGATAAAATATTTTTCTTTATTATCTTACCTGGATGACCCCTCCCCCTCTGCCCTCAGTACCAGCCAAGAAATCTTCTGGTAGCTTCAGCATCTTCCCCAGCCAGTCCAGCATCACTGTCTCCAGCTCTGTACAGGCAGGACTCGCTGCCTACAAAAATAAATAAATTAACAAATGAATTGATAAATAAAATCTTGAATTAATCTGCAAGATGAAATGGATGGAAGATGGATGGAAAAGCAGATGGATACAGAATTAACAGACCGACAGGTGGCTAAATGGATGAGTGGATAGATGGATGGATGGACGGCAGATGAATGTTGGATGGATGGAAACGCAGATGAATGTTGGATGGATGGATGGATGGAAACGAAGATGAATGTTGGATGGATGGAAAAGCAGATGAATGTTGGATGGATGAACGAATGGATGGATGGAAAATTGGATGGTTGGATGGAAAAGCAGATGAATGTTGGATGGATGGATGGATGGAAAATCAGATGGATGGATGGAAAAGCAGATGGATGGATGGACGGATGATGGATGGACAGACAGATGGCTAAATGGATAAATGCAAAAAATGGACATACAGACAGGTTGCTAAATTAATGGATGGATGGATGGATGGACAAACAGACTAGCAGGTGGCTAAAAAGATGGATGGATAGATGAATAGATGGTTCAAAGGAGGGACAGACAGATGGCTAACTAGATGGATAGACAGATAGGTGGATGTACAGAGAGAGAGAGAGAGAGAGAGAGAGAGAGAGAGAAACATACCCAAGAGAATCCAATGCAGCCAATGGCCCCACACAGCATATCAGCCAGCATTGCAGGAAAAGAGTGGGCAGTAGGAAAGTATGCATAGAAGTACGGGCTGTGCCAGTGTGTCACCTGAAACATGTAGAAACATTCAATTAAAAATTGTCTTCAGTGTTCATGAAAGAAAACACACCAAAAATCATTTTTAAAATCATTTGCTACAGTAATATAACATGTTTTGAAGCAAAAGAGCCACCTAAGACCGGGAACTTTGATCTGTCAGATTTAGCTTGGTTGTTCTATTGATGTTCACCTTTGCTCTTTTGAACAAGGGATTATGACTTCAGTAATAGTGACATCAGGGTTTTTCGCTCAGAACGTTAAAGGTTAGATGTAATTATGAAGGCTAGATGAAATTATTCCATGTGTTTAGCGGAGGAGAGAGCTTGAGGCACTGTGTGTCTGTGTCTCTCTTGCAGGATTTTCCTATTGTGAGTCATTCATTAGCCCAAGCACACACTTTTAAACAACCATTAAAACAAGACTTCTGAAAAGGAAAATTGATCTAATTTGACACAGTGGGAAGGTTAACACATTCAACTGAATTAAAGTGTTTGTTTTTTCCTCTGAGCTATGAAATGAAGGGGTGGGGGATGCTTTTCTCTGACCCCAGGTTAGAGTTTAATGATTCATTTCCTAACTATCAGCTTCCAGCCCCTCATAAGGTAGACTTTGAGCATGTTTAACGAGAGAAAACCTTGAGGGTCTCTTGATGTGGTCACCTGTTAGTAAAACAAAGTATCTTTATCTGCACAAGATAAATCATATCAATTTATGAATATTTGCATTGCTGTTACATCATCCTTGACATAGTGTATAACCACATCATCATATCTGTTAACTGCTTGGTAGACTATCAGTTTAAATTATGGACTTAATGTCACATTAAGTGCAATATACACAACTTAAGATAAAAGCTGACAAAAGCTTGCTTTGTTTTTTTGCTTCTAAATTGCTATAATAAATTTAAACCATCAAAGACAAAGATTAAAAAGACAGATTCAACTAGATTTCACAAGAGCTCTACTGTCTATAACCAGAAAGTTCTGAGTTAAAGTCACCAAATGTTTTGTTGCTTTTTAGTTTGGGGACCAATTCTCACTATTAACTAACTATCAACTAAAACTTTTGCCTCAATAAACTCTTTATTTACTGTTTATTAATAGTTAGGTATAGTTGTCAGAATAAAGCATTAATATGTGCTTTATAAGTACTAATAAACAGCCAGTATGCTAGTAATATGCATACTAATAAGCAACTAGTTAATAGTGAGAAATGGTCCTTAAACTAAAGTGTTAGTGAACACAAAGCCATACTACAATACTGTATATTCAGCTACTGTACACTGTATAATAATGCAGATTTTTAGAACAAAAAAAATTATATGAAAGTTTTTAAAAGTTTTACATGAATACATTTATATTATTTACTATTTTAGTAGGTAATTCACACATTTTGTATTATATATGTGAAGGATAAAGAAATATTACCAGTCAAAAATAGATTTCACAGAGTTCAAGTCATTAAAAATCTTTTGACACAAGATCTGAGATCTGAAAACCATAGTATGTAATGACTGTAAAGTAAAGGAACTGTATCATAGCTGGTCAGCACTGACTCACCCCTGGCATGATCACCCTCTCTATGTCTTTGACCACATCCTCATAGCTCTCTGCCTCCTCTGGGGCTTCCTCAGGAATCAGTGACCTGAGATATCCAGGTTCCACATCAGGGTAAACCTGCCTCTTCTCAATGTTCTCTAAATAATCGGCCACATAGTCCACCATCTCCTTCCCGCGTCTCCGGAACTCTGCAGCGTCCATGTTTTTAACTGAAATAGGAGTAGAATCCCTCAGAGTGGAGAATAAAAGACAAACTGATGTGCTTTTTAATAAGGAGAGGTGTAATCATATTAGTGTTATTGAGAGTGTTTTCAGGGTCAACCTGACTCTCAGTATCTTAACAGGAAAACCACAGCCAGAGGCCACATGTTCAAGACATGAAATGTAATTATAGAAAATACTCAACCGTTCATTAGTGTCAGTGATTATTTCCATTTTTTATTGTAAGCATTCTCATAGCATAAAAAAGAAATAATACCACAGCATATCATATCATATTATTTTAGTACTATATAAATACTATTAAAGTTTCATTAATATATTGAATTAGCTTTTTATAGATTAAAAAAATATATATTTTCAGTTTAATTTAAAATTTTAGTACTATATAAATACTATTAAAGTTTCATTAATATATTGAATTAGCTTTTTATAGATTAAAAAATATATATTTTCAGTTTAATTTAAAATGATTATTATTATTATTATTATTATTATTATTATCATTATCATTATCATTATCATTATTATTACTATTATGTAATTTATGCTTTTGTCACTTTTATTGTTTTTAATATTATTTTTTTTCCAGTTAGTCATTTTAATGCTTTTCTTTTCTTTTCTTTTCTTTTCTTTTCTTTTCTTTTCTTTTCTTTTCTTTTCTTTTCTTTTCTTTTCACTTTAATTCATTTAACAAAAGCATTTTCAATAGTTTTAGTTTTAGTTAACCATAATAACCCTGCAGCTTATTTTTAAACAGGACCTCATGGAGGCACTCTCAATTCAATTTGTGTGAATTTTGGAAAATGAATCCAAAAACTGTATGTCATTGCCTCACCTCAGTAGCAATATTCTGCTGATAAGAACAGCACAGGTTGCCAAATACATATTATAAAAAAATGAACAATGATAATTTATCATTGACATGAACTTTGCCATCAATAGTGTTAATAATATACTGGTACAGCTAATTCACACTAATTCTACTGATTTAATTCATTACACTGATTGTCCTCACAGGACACATGTACTAGGTAAATTTGACCTTAAGTTAGAATTTGTTAGAGCAAATGTAATAGAAAGAGACCATACCAATTGTCAGCAGGGTTGGTCACAGTGGCTACTACTAATTATTTGTATGCCTGTTGTCTCTTCACACTAATCCACATAATACAAATGGATTGAGATGTGTCAGTGTGGCTGTGAGTGCGTGTGCGTGTGTGTGTGTGTGTGTGTGTGTGTGTGTGTGCACGTGATGACTCATCCAGAAGGTGACTGGTCTTTTTGATCACGCACCAGTAAGTACTATTAAAGTTGTTAATCTTTACACATACACACAAACAAGCAAACATAGGTTAAGCATCTGAGGACAAAGCATGAAACATATCAACAACCCTAAGCCTATCCCTAAAAAAAAGGTCTGTGCAAAAATGTAATGTATTTTTGTACTTTGTAAGCACTTTTAATATAGAAATAGGATAGGAATATTAGGAATGCTTCTCAATAAAAACAAACCAGCAAATGCAAAGAAGCATTTAATGAATCAATTATTGTCCTAATGTTCCTAATGAGAATTTTTAAGGGAAAACAATGTATATAACGTCTTAAATGACTATTATCAGTCTGATTTTGATTTGAAAAGCCTCAGAAAACACATGGGTTGCCAAGATCAGATATCTTTATGACATGTCACGTTGTACTGAAGCAGGTGCTGTAAAAATGGAGTAAAAGCTAAAGTCTGCTGACATTTGACATTAAGGTGACTTCATTTTTTTCAAACTCAATATTCTAGAATATGAAATAAAATGTAGAAAAAGAAAGTAAAGACAATCCACCTCAGCAGTAATACATGTCATCAACCTGACAAAATCCCATAATAGTCCTCTATTTGGACCTTGTACCTGGACTGTGGAACGAGTGTCACGCTCATAATATCTCTCTCTTTCCTCTAATTGATTTCATTGTACTTACAGTGTCAGGCAAACAGAAGAGTCCTCCCTCTCGTAGGTCCTTACACGCTTTCTGTTTGTTTCAAACACACATATAAAAACACGTATACACACACAGAGCAAAGCAGAGTGATGTGGAACAGCAGGGAAGCCTGGGGGTTTATCAGCCCTGCCACTGTTCAGACGGCCAATCAGAACGAGCCTTTCATTCAGAGCAACGCACACAGGCAGGGCATAAGGAGCTGATTCATAAGGAGTTAATGAGAACCTGTTCACTTTCCACAAACTTAGTCGCCTCCTATCTAATGTCTTAGCCATCAGTATTTTTTATTAAACTGTTATTTTGTAGTTATTAAGGACATCTGAAGTGCCTTTGTACAGTTTACAGCTATTTCTCATTTAAATGACTCAACGATATACCAATAATATATTGTATTATGGAATAAATGTGTTTTCTTGTAAACTTAGTCATTAGATCTGCATTAGATCACAGGTTTCCCTCTCACATCTTGAGTGAATTAGCACTGGAACCAAAGTCTATAGAACAGAAACTGGCTATTTGGGTGAAAACCTATCCACAGAAGCTATATACTGAATACATCCAGCAGGACTAGCCTTGTATTAATCAATGTATGCTGTCAACAAAACCATTTTATAAAAATAAAACCTTTAGTGACGAAACATGGATTCTGTAATTGTATGTCTGCCAAATTATTTAAAGTTTTCTGCCTTTTTTATACCCATCAAATCTCAAACTGAGAACATTATTTGAAATAATAAAAGTAATAAAAATATGAGTCATGAATCGGTTAAAGCCACTCCCTTAAAAAATTGTGTCTGATTTTTAGTTCCAAAGTGGTAATAAAAATTTAATGTAAATGTAGGCCAATTTCTGTCTTCTGCTTATACTGTATATTGACACAGCTTGCATTTATAACTTGCTGGGAACCGAGAGACTGTAATTACTGAGCATCTATATAACTCAGTCAGTGACACAGTCTCAGTCAATCACTTTAAAAAGTGCCTGTCACTTTAAAAAGAAAAAAAAAAGATTGTTATCTTAAATTAGCTATCTTTAAATAGCTGAACCAATTTCGATTCACCACTTCTTTAAAGCACATTTTTGGTTACCTGACACAACAGTTTACAGTGTACAGTTGCTGTTGTCACAGTGACAACCTGATAATTAATATAAAATGGATGAATTCTGCACAGGACTAGTTTAGTTACTTGATACCAAACAGAGGAAAAATCAACCTTTTTACCAACAGGTGGGGATGATTGACTAGATTTACTATTTATGAGTTTGTCTGCCCCCTAGTGGACATGAACGTGGCTTACATCAAAATCTAACAGGTGGTTCTACAAAATAATACAGCATGTAGTTTTATTGTTTAATGTTGTGTAATATCTGCTAATAATGTCTCTGTAACATTTAGAAACTTTATTAAACGTGATCTTTGTTGCGTATCTGTGTAGCTATTTGTCACAGTGACTGCAGTCCACATTTGAAACTGACTGAAGTCTAAAGTTACATGTTTGCACCATTTTTAGAAAAATTACCATTCATTTTGTTAATGTAATACACATGTTAAATTTTATATGGCCATATTAATACTTTGTACTGTTGATAAGAAAATATAGGAATATTTTGTAGAACAAACTGTCTAGTAATGAATAAATGTAGAATACCAATAGACACTGAGCATTGTTCAGGAGCTTTTTCACATTTTTAATTCTTTTTTTTTTATTTTTATCCAAATTAAAATAAATATTTATCTTGAGCTATTTCCAGTTTTGTGAATTATGTATTTATATTCATATTTAATATTTCGGCCATTATTTAAAATTATTGATTTTTTAATCATTCTCAAAATGAAGACAACAAATAATAGTAATTGTTAATTGTCTTCACTTAGTCCGTTTTTATTTATAACACTATGAATTACTGTGTATGAAATAAATATGCAATATGCAAATAAACCTGCCTTATCTAAAGCAATGCATTCTTGAAGGTGGTTGGCAAAAAATAAATAAATAAATCAGAGTCACATGTTCCTCTAATGTGGGGTTTGGGTTTTGTTTCTTGTTCATGTTTTCATGTCTTTTATTTTGTAGTTTAGTCATACTCCCTGTTTGTGTCATGCTTCCCTTGCCCTCATGTATTCATGCCATTGGTTCTCTTGTTCATTGTGTCATGTTCTGATTGGTTGTCTTAGTCATGTGTCTTGTTTCCCATTGGTTTGTTCTTATCTTGTGACCCTCTTGTTTGCTATAAGTAGCCATCATTTTGCCATTGTCTCTCGTCGTGTAACCCGCTGTCGGTGAGTCTAGTCTGTTTATGCCTCGTCAAGTCTGTTCATGCCAAGTCAAGTCTGTTCAAGTCAAGTCTGTTCATGTCTAGTCAAGTCTGTTCATGACATGTCAGATCTGTAACGAATCATCCACTGAAGGCAAGCGTAAATGAGAACCCAAGTGCAGTTTATTTACAGGTGATCCAAACATCCAAACAATAATCCGAGACTTGACTTGACATGAACAGACTTGACTAGACAAGACGAAGACTAGAGACACAGACTTGACTTGACGAGGCATGAACAGACTTGACGAGAACAGACTTGACTAGACTCACTGACAGCGGGTTACAACATCAATACACAACCAGAGACAATGGCAACATGATGGCTACTTATAGCAAACAAGAGGGTCACAAGACAAGAACAAACCAATGGGAAACAAGACACATGACTAAGACAACCAATCAGAACATGACACAATGAACAAGAGAACCAATGGCATGAATACATGAGGGCAAGGGAAGCATGACACAAACAGGGAGTATGACTAAACTACAAAATAAAAGACATGAAAACATGAACAAGAAACAAAACCCAAACCCCACATTACAGTTCCCTTAACAGTAAGCATCTTACAAAGTCCTACAACACAAGTATAAAGTGCTAGTCACTTAATCATATGAAAACTGTAAGTGTGTAATGTTTGCTTGTTAGGATAATATCAACACACTTTGAGATATCAATCAATGTTTTATTCTAAACGGAATATATCAGTCCCTTATTTGTACAAAAATACCTGAAAATGTTACAATTAGAATTTGTAAGCCATTCAGCTATTTACAGAACCAAGCAGAACACATCAATACAGAATCTGAAAAGAAGAAACCTTTTTTTTCTATCCATGTTTTTGTTTGTTTGTTTGTTTGTTTGTTTGTTTCATTCCCTGAAAGACATAGATTCATATTTACTTCTATATTACTTACATTTATGGTCATGATATTTTTTTGCATTGAGAAAACATGCGCAAAGCTCAGGAAATATTACTGACAGTTGGGAGAAGGTTCTGATTATGGCATGAAAAAAGTCAGAAGTACTGCTTTACATTACAGCGTCCATGTTACACGCGTTAGATGTTGTTATGATTCATGACAATAGCAATAATTAAAAGCAGATCCACAGAATTACACATTAAGTTCATTACAAATTGCTATTTATGTATAATGCAATTACTCTGTAACATGAACCGTGTAATCAAAAGCATGACCTCCTCTTTCATCAGAACTGATACTAGTGACAAATGGTCACAAATTCCAGATCAGTAACCATAACCTGAGTAGGAACACCCTCTCAGGTCGACATTAGTGAAGAGAGAGGATGGACCGTAGGGTTTCGAGGCACCTGATATACACAATTTTTAAAGGAATAGTTCATCCAAAAAAAAGAAAAGTTTGTATATGGAGTACAAAAGGAGTGATATAGCAGAATGTCCAAGCTGCTCTGTTCCACTGTATGGGCAAAAAAGCAGCTTGAAACGACTTGAGGGTAAGTAAATGTTTAATTTTTAGGTGAACTATCCCTTTAAGAAAGGGTGGAAGCTATATGATACAACTCATTCTACAGATGTTGCAGACGAAACTAGAATATCTTGAAAGCCAGAGATTCATTAAGAGAAAAAGGGGGAAATAATAAAGGTCTGGTGTGGACTCAATAAAAAGAAGTACACTGTTAGTTTAATAAAAAGAAAAATACAGAGAAGAAGTCTTGCTGGTCCACAGGACCAGTTTTAAACAGCCTCCACTTCAACCCTGAGCAACCCAGTTACATTCATTTCTTTTAAATATAAAAATTACATTTATTTCTTTCACTGATAAACTCTCAACAGATCACACATTTCGCAAATGCTGCTACCAGATTCTTTCAAACAACAATGGAGAAAATGCAAAAAAGAAAAAAACACATCTGTCTTTGATTCATATTAAAGTAACATTTCTACAATATCTACAAGGCATACATTTATTAGCGTTTTCATAATAAGTGTATTTGTAAGAATAAGTGAGTTTTTAAAACAGCAATTTAGCTTAATAATGACCTTCAATGACTAAAGGAGTTCAAAGTCCAGTTTTCCATCAGCTCAATGCAAACATAACATATTCTTTAAGGTCAATTAGCATGACAAAGCAACACAAAATAGAATAGATTCAATATTTACACACTTAACCAAATAATAAAAATGCACTAAAATAAGTCAAGTTTCTTCATTTTATATGCCATTGTGGAAAGAAAAAAAAAAACTGTATCCAAAAATTCAGTGTGGTATCTACAAACTAGAACAGTTGTACATGAATGGAGTGTAACTATAATGTTACATGATATATGTAAAAATGAAACAATGCTGCAAATGAAATAAATGCATACAGACAACGTGACTGTAATGTATTGCTGTATTAACTCCCAGAGTGTCTGGATTATGAACAAACATCCTGCTCACACTCACTTTTAGACTGAACGGCCAACTAGTTAAGTAGGTTAAGCGCTAATGGTACTCAGACTATCCTACAGATCAATTTTACTCACACAGGTGATTCACCAATAACATATAGTAAACTAGCCTCAACTTAACTTCCTCACTGGCAAAATCCAAAAATTGTGGGGGTTTTTTCCTTTCTTTTTTTTTTATTGTTAGATGATCTCAGAAAAAAAAAATCATATAACCTCTAAACTCAATACATCCATCTGTCTGAACCAGGCGGAAAAATTCCTCATATACTGTTACACTAGAATTATAATATATCGAAACTGGTTGCAGAATATGCTAATTAATAGCATCATAACTGAAATGTTGTTAGTTTAGTCCTTGGCTGGCTGATTGTATAGCTTCACTTATCAAACCCTGAAAAATAAAAGACAATAATGTCAAGTTCAGAAAGCTTGCGTGTATATGCTTGTGTCTTTTGGTGAACGTACGACCCACCCAAACTGCAGCTAAATCAACACTGACATACACTCATCCTCAAGGCTTGAATTAACTTAACTGACACTGAGAAAGATATTCAAGTGAATAATAATAGCGCTGACTTAAGCCCTGCAGTCTATTTCTGTGGTTAAATCATCCAATGAGGTCTAAATACTACCTGACAGACTGAGATCATATCCTTATTACACGGCTCTCTGAAATGCTTGATACTTGATTCCTTGTCAAATAAATCAATATTTAATTTTTAATTTACTTTTTATTTGTAAGTAGCCATGTAATAAGCAGCATAATGTACAGTTAAAATATCAGGATTGCCCTTTTGAGATTTTTTTTTTTTTTTCGAAAACCTTTGATTGTACATTATCCCTTACTTAAATGAGATGACATGAATTACATATATCTTAGAATACATCTATGAATGAACAGCTTAATGTTACTTTGTGACTACTATTTTTTATAGACAACAATATGAAATTGCAAAATAGACCTTAATTGTGTAGACACCATAGTTCATCTAACGTGAATGGAAACAAAGCTGTCTGGAATACATGTACAATGCATGTCTGTTCAATGGGCTGCACCATATCATGTGCTAACTTGTGTTTTTGTCCACTGGAACATTTTTCCAAAAGATGTGTTTTCAATATAGTGTCAGATTAACAATTGACAGCAATGTACACAACAGTACAACCCATTGAACAGGCTTTACTGACTCTACCATTAAAAAAGACCATGAAGACGGTGTTCTACAGTAGGATGTTGATGAAGAATTAGTGCTAAAAGATTCAAGAAAGGGTTTGTAGTTAATAACTGAGGTCCAAAAAATTCACAAAATTGTGGAAGAATATTATTGAACAGCGCTGAGAAAAAACGAAACTATATTTCAAGTAATCAAATCCAGATAAATAAATAAATTTGTTGAAGCAATATTTAAAAATGATTGCATCGTTTGCATTTAACTATGCACTGATATCTTGGGTGAACTTGTAGACATGGTGGCTATGCCCTCTCTATCTAGTTTAATACAATATAGGTACAAACTAAAAACATGGCTCTTTCTTTACATTGCGTCACAAGTACAAAAAAAATAAAAAATCTTTGCAAATCCGTTGTTCCTACTGCTACCATGGACAAGGCAGATTATAAATTCGAACCCCATCTTTCTGTGGGTGTTCTTAGCCCGAGCTTCACAGTGTGCTGTCCTCGAAACAATCTTTCGAAACATGGAGAGAAAACTAGAACGTCAACAACAAAAACAGACTGGAGCTGGGACTGAAGATAACAGCAGTTCTAAAGATTCCAGTTTGTTGATCTAGCTCCTGATAGACTGCGACCCACAGCAGAGTTCCCAGCAGAGGGTTTAGTGGTTATTACTCAACAGACTCCTCTTTAAAATCAAGGCACCGTTCCTAAAGGATGTGGTGGTGATGTCAGGCCATGTTCTTGTACTCATGTTTAAAGGAATAGTTCACTCAAAAACTACATTTGACCATAATTTTTCACCTTCATGTCTTTCCAAAATATTTTCTTTTTTTAGCGGATACGAGTTAGACGTAAGCTTGGCTTGACGTCAAAATTTCAGATGGTTCCTCACACAAAGCTATCATGTGGCAGTGTTTTAGTACTCAAGACTGGACTCTTGAGTTGTCATGCACACGGGAACATTTGGACACCTTCTTGCGGTCTCGAATACAATACTGTCGTATGGCTTGAAATATAGTCATATTTAATACTT